TTTAAAAGGGCTGGGGATATAAGTTGGTGCGAAATCTTTGGGTTCAATTCTTTTTATTGTTACTGTATATCAGTTTTTCTCATTTCACCCCCAGCTTTATTGAGGCATAATTAAAATATAAATTACATATTTAAGGTATACAGTGTAATGTACTTTTTGTCACTGGGAAATAATACCCAACACCCACAACTTACAGGAGGAAAGGTTTGTTTTTTGGTGCACAGATTATAGAGGTTTCAGTCCATACTTGACTGCCTCCAAAGCAGGCCAGCATGGCAGAGGAGAAACATGGCTTGGCAGCAGGAAGCAGAGACAGAAATCAAGGGAGGAGAGAGGGGAGAAATACTTCCAGGCCACACGGCCATTCACTCACCTCTTCCAGTCAGATTTGGCTACTGTTACATTTACCTATAAACTAACATTACATTACATTTAGCTTTTACATTTAGTTATAAATCACACTTAGCTACAAACTCATCAGTGGATTCATCCAATCACATCCCAAAACCCCACCAAAATGCATGAGGCTTTGGAGGACACCTAGACACACACATAGCATCGCACCCCTGGCCCTCAAAAGACTCTTATGCATCTCTTTATGCAAAATCCATTTATTACATCTCTAAGAGTTGGCAAAGTCCTAACAGTTTCAGTACTGCTTAAACGTTTGGGTCTAAAGTCTCCTCTGAGATTTAAGGCAAACTCTTTTCTGTGAGCCCCTATCAAAATCAAAAAGAAAGTTAAATACTGTTGACATACAGAGGCACAGGGTAAATGCTTCCATTCCAAAAGGAAGAAATAGGGTGATAGAAAGGAATGGGACCAAAGCAAGACTGAAATCCAACATTCAATCCCATAGTTCCCTGTCCAGCACCCTGGGCAATCTGCAGAAAGATGTACACTCCAGACCACTTGACTGGCCTCACCCTCCATGGCATTGCCAGTGGTTGTAGCCCTAGTGGCTTCTTTCTTGGGTTGATTTTGCTCACTTCTTACAGCTTTCCTCAAAGATTCCATGTTCCTGGCTTCTCCAATTTCCTGGATTCTCCACTGCACCTTGGGCTTCACACTCACTGCCTCACACACTGCCCTCTCACACCTGGCCTCCTACACCACCTAAGAAATCTGGGAGGAAGCCTTCCTCACCCCACGACTCTTATGTTCTGCACTGTACAAAACCAACACCAGGAGGATGACACCGCGGTCGGCTGCCAGCTTGAGCAGTAGCTGAGCCCTTTTCCATCTTGCAGAGGCCTCTCAGTGCCTGGACGACTGAACAGAGTGAATTATGGAGAATGGATTCCCACTGCCTAGGCTGGTGCCCTTCTGCAGCATGGCGCCCTGGGACTTTCTGCTCAAGGCAAAGTCTCAATTTTTTACCCTTGCACCCTGTGGAGGGTTTATAAGGGCTTTCAGATCCCTCCCAGGCCCTCGAGGCATCCTTTGTATTGTTCAGAGTGGGACTTTCTGCTCAAGGCAAAGTCTCAATTTTGGAGGGTTTATAAGGGCTTTCAGATCCCTCCCAGGCCCTCGAGGCATCCTTTGTATTGTTCAGATCCAAAGCACTTGGCTTCTTTTCAATACTAATCTTTTTTTTTCATTAATTTTATTGGTACATTTTAGGTATACAATATGCTGACATTTATTATTGGGAATTTGTACCTTTACATAATACCTCGTTCTTATTTTTTCCCTCATTCTGCTGTCCACCGACCCCTCCACCCCTCCCTATTTACAAAGACTTTCTTTCCATTTTTTCATTTTCTCGTATTTATTCCTTTTCTCGTCTATCCTTTCCCCTCCCCCTCCCACTTCCCCTTCCCTTTGGACTTTTTCTTCCTATTTCACATTTAATGCTAACCTTTTTAGCAACCAGGCTGTCCTCTACTCCATTTTTTTTCAGGACCCAACTTTACTAGAGTTTCCTTTGTGGTCAAACTCAAAACTTTAAATATTCAGCTGTGTCTTTTGCTCTTGATTTCCAAGGTAGAGCTGGCTAAAAGCCCCCAACAGTACCCATCCCACTGCCTCAACATTAGACTGATTTGATATCTCTTCCATCAGATTAATTAGTGGGCTCCCCTTAATCTCAGTCTCCTACAGAGTCTCAGGACAGAAGTAAAATATAGACTTTTTTTTTATGTTTTTGCCATAGCATAATATACATGACTTGAAGTCCAATTATTAGTAGAGTCCTTGCTCCCAAATGATACTGCTTGAGCCTGGTCTTTTCCATCTTTGGTACCGGGGATCAAACTCAGGACTTTGCACTTGCAAAGCAGGCAGCAGCCCCACTGAGCTACATCCCCAGCCCTTCCAGCTGTCTTCTTCCTAGCATTCTAGTCTCCTGAGCTCTGACCAGAATCTCCTATGAAGCTTGGCTTACAGCATTCTAGGGCTGTTTCATCAGCCGACATCTCCAAGTCTCTCCAAACTCCACTCACAAGCCAGTTCCATGGTCAGGTAGCATCACAGCAGTGATCCCACTTTAGGCACCAGGACCTGCCCTAGTTACTTTCTCCTCACCGAGGCCCTAATTCCTCAACTTCAGAGAAGAAAGGTTGACTTTGGCTCACAGTATCACCATACATTGCTACCATTTTCCTTAGTAGTATTTTGATTTTCTTTTTTTTAAACCTTGTACACTTATTATTTTAATACTAATAAGGTTTATAAGTACATGAAAAACACTAAGCATAGCCAGGCATGGTGGTGCATACCTGTAATCCCAGCACTCAGGAGGCTGAGGCCGGAGGATCGCTGTGAGTTCGAGACCAGCCTGGGCTACATAGTGAGTTCCAAGTCAGTCTCAACTACATACTGAGTGTAGAGGCACAGCGACGCTCAACAACTAGGCCACACGCTCAACAACTAGGCCACATACCAAGAGGTCTGACAGGAGACTTTATTAGGGAAGGCAGGTTAGGGAGAGAGGAGAGAAGGAAGAGAGAGAGAGAGGAGAAAGGAGAGAGAAACAGGAGAGAGGAGAGAGAGGAACAAAGAAAGGAAGGTCCTTTTATTGGTTTTGGGCTGGGCTATTGTTTATTTATGAGGTGTGTGCTACTTTTAACCTATCATAGGCCAGGTTGCACTTTATGGGTTCAGTCCTGCAGAAACTCAGGTTTAAACTCTCCAAACTGCTGTGGCCTTGGGTCAGGGGGCAGGGAAACTAAAGATAAGAGCATGAGGTCATTTTAAGAGGCAAGAAGAACCAGGAGAATGCAGCCTGTGATGGCAGCGTGAGGTCTCTAACAGTGAGACCCTGTCTCAACAAACAAACAAAGAAACCCTAAGCATATTTAGGCAACTTTTTATGTGATGCTTTGCCTCTAAAAAGTGGGATCTCTTGCTTGAAATGGTCAGATGATCAATAAGAGCTCCCCAAAGCTGGGACAAATAAAGTTTCAGCTACGTATTTATGGGGTAAAATGGTTGCTTATCTTTACTATTTTTCTGTCCTATGATTTCAACAAATCGTTGTCACATTTCTTCCTTGTCCTTTTATTATAAGAAGTTACTTAGTTTCTCCAAAAAATATTGTCATAATCACACTACCCCACGATGACCAGTGAGCATATTTGGATGCATCTTCTTCAGTTCAAAGGTTTGAACTTGGAGATGGCCTGGGGCTATCAGAGTAGGATTTGGGGCAGCTTACTTTGAGCAAAGCATATTGGAAAGGTCTAAGGAAGGAGACTGAAATGAAAGACCACAGTGGGCTAGGGCAGCAACTCAGGCCTAAGTCCCAAAGAAGCAAGACTGGTGCAGTGGCAACGAATATGGACAGAACCAAGCAACCGACCCAAGAGGGAGAACTGCAGGGCCTTGCTGGAAAGCAAAGGAGATGAAAAGAGAGATGACGCAGAGGTGTCCCCTTTGGCAATTTACATAAGCTTCAACTTCCTCAGGTGTTACAAGGGGCTAGTAACTGCTCCTTCCTCCCCGGGCTGTTGGGAGAATTTAATGGGTGACAAGTGAAATGCTCAGCACAATGACTGGAATGGATTCTTGGTAAATAATTAGCTGTTACTGGTTTTATAGGTGTTAAGTCGAGGTGACTGGGTTTAAGAATAGCAAACTTCTTAAAAGAAACAGAAAAGTGAGGAAAGAGATTGGACTGAGGCGGGAGAGGTGCAGCTGAGCCAAATTTTGGACATGTCATATTTGTTTTTGTTTGGTTTGGTTTTGGTTTTGGGGGACAGAATCTCGGTATGTAGTTCAGGCTTGCCTTGAACTCACGACATAGCACAAGCAGGCCTCAATTTCTCTCTGAGATCCTCCTGCCTCAGACTCCCACTGCTGGGATTTCAGGCATAAACCACCATGCCCAGATCAGATTCTCACCAGCAGAATCTACTGGAACTAATGAGTATTGACTGTCTGGCTGAATGATTCTCCAGGCAGGGTAGATACCAAAGTAGTGAAGCACTTAGATTTGGGAACCAGATAAATCTGTTTGAATCCCAAATCTTTTACTTTTTTTTTTTTAAGAGATGAGATCTAGGGTCAGGGATTTAGCTCAGTGGTTCAGCCACCTGCCTTGCAAGCACAAGGTCTCAAGTTCAATCCCCAATACAAAAAAAAAGGGGGGGAGGATTAAAGAGATCTTTAAAAATAGAGAGAGATGGTAACTTCCTATGTTGCCCACGCTGGTCTCCAACTCTCGGATTCAAGCAATGCTCCTTCCTCAGCGTCCAATTAGGAGTACAGGGCTGCACCTTCAAGTCTGGCTTTCTTCCATTCACTGTGGCCTGATTTCAGGACTCTCTAAATTTTAGTTTTCTTATTTAGAAATTGAATAATACAAATTTCTACATCATAGCATTAATGGAAGGATTATGCAGATCCTTTGAGTGAAACCCTGTATGAAACACAAGATGTGATGTAAATACCAACTTTTGCTGTTAATCCCATCTCTCCTTGAAGCCAATAACTATGTTTCTATTTCCACATGATCCTTCATGGTACTAAATGTAAAAATCACTCTCTACTAACTGCAGATCATTTTACTCACAGCAACATGGTCCTCAGCGTCAGCCTACGCCTCGGTCTCCTTGGGAACCTTGTTGCCCGTGGCATATGAAACCCAGAAGGCCAAGCAGCATCGTTGGGGCAAGACTGGAGGAGCCTCTGAGTCACTTTTTTTTTGTCTGGAGAGACTCCGCATTCATTCTCAGTCGCTGTTATAAATGATGATATACATTTCTGAGACCAAACTACTCCAAAGTCCAGTGTGATCATTTGCTTCTTATTTCTTCAGCACAACCCTAATAGCCGTGTTTTCATTTCAGGCCCATTTGATGATTAATGAACAGCAGAATATATCCTAAGAAGACAGGTGAAAATATCAGGTTGTAAGACAAAGCATGTAAAAATATCAGAGATGGGGCTTTTTTTTTTTTAAGAAAGAGTAAAAGGACATGAGTACTATTTTTAATAAGAATTCAAACACTGTAGTCAGCAATGGGCAAAACCTCAGTGTCTCTGGTTTTTCTTCTAAAATTCAGTATTTTATCTAGAAAGTTCTTTTATCTCGACATGTATAAATGTGCTCATAATAATTTACCCAAATCTATAGTGAAGGTAATTTGTATCTTAAAAATTGATTGCTGGTCCTCATTTTTAGTGGATTGGGAAGTCAGCCTTTGTATGTTTGTAAATTTTTAGTTTGAAAAACAGAACAAGCTATTGCTAAATTGTTTTATGACTTTGGGAGAACGCACAGAAGAAAGGAGAGATGGCCAAGTCTTGAGCTTTGTGCTTTTTTTTCCCCCCCTGTATAGGAATTGAACCCAGGGACCACTGAGCTACATCTCCAGTCCTTTAAAAAGTTTTTTTTTTAAATCCTAAGACAAGGTCCCCCATGTTGCTAAGTTGCTTGGACTGGGCTCAAACCTGTGATCTTCCTGCCTTAGCCTCCCAAAGTACTGGAATTATAGGTATATGCCACCCAGCTGGGCTTGAGCATCTATTGCAGCTGACCATGTGTTTTTGTACATCACCTCACTTAATTTTCACAACATTTTTAGGTAGACTCTGAGATGCTAACATACTCTCCCATAATCACACGGCTGAAAAGTGGTAGCCCTGAGATTACAATACAGTTCTGCCTGGCTCCAAAGCCCACACACACTCCCTCCACCACCCCTAGCTGCCCTTCCCTAATTCCTCATCTAACAAAATATGATGACAGTTGAGTCAGAGAATCTTTGATGTCCCTCAGGCTGCAACTGTTTGCCCTCTGAGTTCTGAGGGAAAAGGAGTCAGGGAAGAGGGCTCAGGCACTAGGATGGGACATCTGTCTTTCCTACATTGGAAGCCTGGGTCCCCGTGTCCTGTCTATACCACTCTGACTTCCTGTTCCATGAGAGAGTTCCTGCTCTCTAGCTGCCAATAGCCTACTAAAACCAGGGATCGAACTCAGGACCCTGTGCTCGCAAGGCAGGCGGCAGAACCTCTGAGCTAAATCCCCAGCCCATAAAAACCACTTTTTAAAAGAATCAAATCTTCTAATTATCTTCCTTATGAAATTACATTTCCAAAAACACATCTGTCAACACTTACTGTTGAGAATTTTATTGTGCCCAACACTGAGTGAATTGTATAGTGAGGCTCTGGAGAGGAGTAAAAGAGTCTAAAGTATCAGCCAGGCATGGTGGCACATGCTTGTAATTACAGAATTCTGGAGGCTGAGGCAGGAGGATCACAAATTTAAGTCCAGTCTGAGCAATTTAACAACTTGTTAAGATAAAGGAAGGAAGGAAAAGGAAGAAGTGATAAGATGTCATTTGTATTTTCGGGAATTTATAACTAGCTGAGCAACATGATTGCACATAAAGCAATTTTTAAAAGGCCATGTATGACGCAGTACTGAGCAGTGTAATCCAGATGATAGATTCTGCAGGAGGGCTGCGAAAGTGAAGCCATGGTCCCGTGAGAAGTGGGGCGTAGACAACGTTCTTCACCTTGCATTCTGAACTAGTCTTTCTTGGCCTTCCCTGTAATTGTGAAATCCTGGTATGAACCTTTTGCATAGTTCAAACATTCTCAGCTCTGCTGGCTGTAGTGTGTCCTTCCTATCACGTCATCTGAATGCCACTTCATCTTTATTGGCACTTAGGAGAGGGTAAAACCCCAATGGTATGCAAACACCGTCATGGTTACTTGCTTCAAGCCATGGGAAGTTTCATGCAAAACCAGTTTCTCAATAGGGCGAATGTTGTGTAAAGGTGTAAGGAGCTTGAGAAGCTAGTTAAAGGCAAAGCCTGTCAAGCAAGAATTAGATTTTTTTTTTTTTTTTTTTTTTTTTTTTGGTACCAGGGATCAAACTCAGGACTTTGTGCTTGCGAGGCAGGCGGTGCCACTGAACTAAATCCCCGGAAGCAAGAAACAGATTTGAATGGGGAACTTCCCCTTCTGTGTCAGCAATGGTCACTCACCAGCTCCTTACCTGTAGGTGTCCTTTGTTTATGCTCTTCTCCAACCCCTCAGCAAGAACCCCTTGTCCCTAAGCCCCTCTGTGTCTATCCATCCTCTTATGCCACTATATTGATAAGAAACTCTAGCTCTGGAAAATTATTCCAGAATCCTGGTTCCCTCTCCTTCCTCAGACAACTAAGTAAATGTGTGTTTTTCCAAATTCCACCCTAAATATAATGTGGGAATATCACCCCGAGAAAGGATGTGACATGATAAAGTAGCCTAGTAGATGAAATAGTCACTTTATTTGCACTATGTGTTGTAAAACAATGCTGGTCTGAGCAATAATTTCTAAATTAGTTGAAGACACAAAACAAATACATAAGAAACAGTAGGTTAGTGTATGTCAGAATAATAGCAACAAGTGTTAACTCAAGGGTAATTGGTTCTGAAGAAGGAGACATTCATGAGTATAAAAGGGAAAAGGGAAAGTTTTAAGGCAATGTAGCAGCACATCCCAGTATATCCCAGGCTGAGGCAGGAGGATTGCAAGTTTGAGTGCAGCCCGGACAACTTAGTGACTTAGAGAGCTCTTGTCTCAAGATTAAAAAAAACTTTTTTTGTTTTTAAGGCTGGGAATATAACTCAGTGTGAAAGCCCTAGGTTCAATTCCCTGTAGATGGTAATTTTTATGGAGACAAAGTTTAGGACAGACCTTAATTAACAGGAAAAATCTAGCTAGGGAGAGAAGAGAGATTATGACATTTTAGAAATGAAGGACATCATTACCAAAAGCAGGAAAAGTGACACATACAAGGAAAATGGAAATGGTCGGACTGTCTTCAAGAAGGCAGAAGATGTACACTGCAAGGAAGAGTGGAAATAAAATCATATTGTAAGATGAATTCATCAGGAAACTCAGCAAAGTTAGGGGAAAGGGAATAAGGGAAAAGAAAAAAATACGAGAAAATGAAAAAATGGAAATAAAGTGTTTGTAAATGTGGAGGGGAGGAAGGGATGAAGAGAGGGCAGGGACAAGGGGAAAAAATGAGAACCAAGACCTGTCATGTAAAGGTACAAGATCCCAGTAATGAATGTAACTATACTGTATACCTAAAATGTACCAAGAAACTCAATAAAAAGAAAAAGAAAGAAACTCAGCAAACACATAAGTGCTGATTAGGTGCCAAGCATTGTAGTCTCTTGCCAAAAATAACAGAAGTTTATACCTATGAAAGCTACAGTGTGCCAGACATTGGGGTAAGTGCTGCACATACACCATTTTACCCTCACTGCAGACCTGTGACATAGGCGCTGTTAGCGTCTCCATCTTACAGACCAGGTTAAGGAACTTGGTTCAAGTTGCAGCATTCTAAAGGTCAAGGCCTGGGTTTGAGCCAAGTGAGTCAGCTCAAACAAGGGTTCCGAGCACAATACTAAATTATCTCCACACATATTATCTTACTCAAGCCTCATAAAATTCTCTGTGACTTAAGCATCAAGCATCATTATCCTCATTTTGCAGATGAAGATCCAAGGCTCCAGGAGTCAATGGATTACCCAAGATCATTTGGCCAAGTACAAAGCCCGATTTCAAGGCAGCGCCACTCATTCCAAACCCATTAGATTTTCCAGTATAACACAGCCACCTGGTACAGAGGTTTCCCCGCATGGGATCGAAATAGGGGAAAACCTCTGATGGTCTGATAAGAGCACAAAGGCTGTTTGACCGGAATAGGGAAGAACTTTGGGGTTTGAAACTAATGAGCTTTTGATTAACAAAGGTAGGGCTAGGTCTAGCCTCTGTCAGTCATAGGAAACTGAATCAGGGCAAGAGTGAAAATGAGATGAGATGACATTGGAGGTGGTAAGGACCTAGAAATGGGTATGGGAGAGCGAAGCACAGAAGCAAAATCAATATTTGAAGATAAATCTGATCGTCCTTGGGTTCAGTGGCTGAGAGTAATAAAAGAGACTAAATCAAAGAGGACTGTGCTTCTGTGTGTGACTAAATGACTGAATGGACTGTTGTTACAGGAGCAGCTTGTTTCTGACAAAATGTGAAGGTTCTTTCTGGACATGTTGTAATCTGTTTCGCGGAACAAGGACTGACACATTGCTGAGGAACTGACCAGTAGGCAGTCAGGGATGTGGGATCGGAGCGCGGGGAGACAGCGGAAGCTGCCAATCATATTTGACCAAAAAAGCTATGCAAGGCCCACTAAAAGAGCAGCCAAGTCAGAGCTCAAGGAAAAGAGGTTCAACTGATAGTTGGAATAAACCAGGAGCCATGACAGAATACAAATGCAGCATAACAAAAGCAAGCCACAGGTAAAGCAAAGTGATTAGGGCCAAGGCAGAGATACAAATAACAGGAACACAGCAGCAAATGACATCTCACTAGTATTGCCTTAGTTACTTTTCTCATGGCTGAGACAAAAGAACCAACACCAAAGTTAAAGGAGGAAAGGCTTATTTAGCTCACAGTTTGTAGAGGTTTCAACCCATAATCAACTGGCTCAAAGGCAGGGTGGAAACAATTCATGGCACACACGAGGGAGCAAACGCAACAAGGGACCTTAACAGCATCTTTCTGCCCCCTTTTGTCCAGACTACTTCAGGCGGGCAGCACTCACACGCTTCATCCTAGTGCCCTTGAGCCTAGCATTGCACCATGAATCAATCCCAGCATCGTACCCTCTAGATCCAGCCACCTCTGCAAAAGCCCCACCCATGACCGCATGAAGCTTTGGGGGGCAGACATCTAGACACATCCCATAACAAGTGTCATGTGAAATGAATAGTTTCCTGCACTGTTTCTGGTATCTGGGAATGTTTCCATATTGCAGGCGCCAAACCCAGTTTAACTGGAAGGGACCCTGCAGGCCGATCCTGTGGAACAATGAG